GTCCATAACGATCCATAACGATCGCATAGTGACGATATGTATTTCATTAAAATAGACCTTCTTAGATATACTGTCTCTTAGGCAAAAACCCTTTCAAAACGCAGTGGAACAGTTAATTGTCTCGTAGTATTGAGTCTTATCAATCCACAAGGGTTGATTTTGGCAACGTTCAATGAATATGTTGTAACCTGATGAGCAAAAGAAACCTCCCAAGGCAGCTTCTTTGCATATTGTCCCATCGAGCGGTGAAATACATGCATGTGCATATCATGCATACATGAGCCTCCTACCATCACCCCTCTAAAACTACGATAAAGACAATACTTTCCAAGCCGGAGCGTAGTGGTAGTGCATGGTACTGATTTGGTTGAGATACTCTCACCCTCTTTACTGTATACATGTCGTTATCAGGTGCAACTGAAGAGCCAGAAGAAACAGACTCTCCTGAGGTAACAGAGGGGACTGATGTTCCGGCGGGGACTGATGCTCCAGAAGCTATTGAACCTACAGAGGCAGAAATATGAAACAGTGGGAGAGGCGAATGCTGTACCTCCCTCTCTAAACTCTTTATATTACCAGTGACTAAATTGTCAGTTAAACTGCAGTACCAGAAACTAGGGATGTCCTTTTACAGCACAAAAGTTGATTGTTTTGCGTTGTTAAACTGTCTTTTTCGATTTCTTGTATATTACCTTGTAACTTCATTCCGATTTTCAGGCTTCTGTTCAGTTTAAGGCTTACTCAAACAGGCGTAACGTTTCACTCGAGTAGGAAGGGCTTCTTCTAAAGCGAAGTCCTCGGAACTGTTATACAAATGGAAATCTAAAATAATAAATGTATGACCTACCGATAATTTCTTTGGTATCAGAAGGAGAAATATTGCATGGAGTGAAAAAAAGGCTACTCAAACTAACTACTACAACTACAACTTCTATTTCTACTACTACTAGTACTACTGCTACTGCTTCGGCTACTGTTCCTGTTACTGTTACTGCTACTGCTACTGCTACTGTTACTGCTACTGCTACTGCTAATTGTAGTGATACTGCTACCACCACTGCTACTGCGACTGCTAATTTCACCGTTACTGTTAATATTACTGCTACTTTATCTACTACAAACTGTGAGCTCTACCCCTTGTACCACTACTGCTAAATCTACTGCTACCAAAACTTCTCCTTCGACTACGTTTATGACTTTTATTGCCCCTATTCAAAATTTTGCTGTAAGGCAACCGAAGTGAGCAAACAAATCTGGTCCTTAAAGGATGCAAACACGACCTGGAAAATGATGGCTCGTACCAGACCCTATCTAAGATGCAGCCTGTGCCCGGCGTAATAGAAAAAAATTCTTCATCTACGCAAACAAGGCGCAGGTACCCTAAACAATAGGAACGGACTGGCGAGTGCGTGCCGGCGTGCTAGCAAGTACATGATAAAGCATGCTTGAACCATCATCCTGTAAAGAGTACCTTAGTTGGTTCGTGCTAAGCTTTCATATGATGGGAAATATATTTTCCTTACTTTAACGAATGATGAATTATATTTAAATGAAACCAGGGTACTTCTTATCCCTGAAGTTTTGAGAGAAGTATACGGGTTTTTATAAATAAGGCAGTTTTTCATGCAAAAGGAATCAAGGAAAAATGATACTGAGAGAGCTTGTCTTTTGGTCACGAGAGTCGGACGCAACCAACCAAGTCTATGTCTACTACAAACATTTGTACCTCAGATCCTCAGATTTCTCGTTCCAATTTTCTACCATTTGCATAGTGCAACAAAATTTGCGTTGGAGAGAATGTGTAAATTTGATAGACAGGGAACATACGTGACGAAGTTCTGTATGTTTACATGGACGGTATTGGACATAATATTGAGCTTAGCTCTTAATTGTTTTCTTTTAATTATAGTTATATGCAGGACTCAGATGTTTCACATTTTAATATACAACTGCAACGTCTATTTCTACTACTAGTACTACTACTACTACAACCACTACTATTGCTACTACTACTACTACTACTACTACTACTACTACTACTGCTACTACTACTACTACTACTACTACTACTACTACTACTGCTACTACTACTACTACTACTACTACTACTGCTACTGCTACTACTACTACTACTACTACTACTACTACTACTGCTACTACTACTACTACTACTACTACTACTGCTACTGCTACTACTACTACTACTACTACTGCTACTACTACTGCTACTACTACTACTACTACTACTGCTACTGCTACTGCTACT